GAAATTTAACACAAACCTAGTCTAGCTTCAGAATAAATTAGTAATTGAATATTTTATCTTGAAATAATTAAATAATTTTCAAGACCCAAATTCTTACTTATTGTTGACATTCACATTAATATATTTTATTTGAGAAATATTTTTTTTTTTCTTTTATTACAACCATATTCACAACAAAGGATCCAAATTTAGAGTTAGAAGTTAACCAATTACTAAATTCTTCATCCTTGGTTATGAATCTAGTCATTAATAGGCTCAATACAAGAATTTTTAGTGAAGAATATGAGAAAGTGTCTTTCTCAAATTAAGTGAATCACATTAGTCCAAACATTTTACTATCCTGTTTCTGGCAGCAATGGATGCCAGACCAATGTTTATGGCAATAAAATGGATGCCATAAACAATTGTTGTTAAAGCAATAAATTACCAATAATAAAAAAAAAACTAAACACAAAAACTGTTGTACCTCCTAAGTTACAACAAACAGGGTCTGATTCATCACAGTAGTAGATGGGTCAGTGTTGTGCAATAGATAGTCTAAGCAGATAAAAAATTTAACAGCACTATCAGTGTTAATGTTTTGATGAGTAAAACACAAAATAAATACACTTTGCAAGCACTTTCAACATGCATAAAATTATTTTAGAACATTGATATAAATTTTAACATTAATGTTAATTTGTACTAATTGGATCACACGTGTTAACTTTAAAATGGTGCATTATTAAACTTACACATTTAAAGGTCAAGCTATAATTGAAAATTATTGACAGATGCGATTTAAATTTTTTAAATTATTAAATAGTGAAACTCATAATTTTTTGGGAGCTTTGGAGTGAGTCTATTAAATGGCTCTAATTTCTCAATTAATAATGTTTCACAGATGAATAAATAGTTGCGGTCCTCACTTTGTATGAGGATGGAAGATTCATTCCAGAAGGTTATGAAGTAAGGATAGATAATTCTGTGGAAATTTTATTTTTACAAATATCATCTTATTTCTAATATTCGGCTTTGCAATTTTCTACTTAGGGCCCCGATATATATCACTTTTTCAAAATTGTTTTGTTGTTGTAATGGAATTATGTATACACCCAATTTTTCTAATGTAGTTAATTTGTCCATCATTACATAGTATTCTCCGTAAGTGGTTTTATTGGAAGGTTAAATCCTGATTTTTGAAATCTTCTGGTAATGCATAAGGACACAGACCCAAGATACAAGATGGAAGGGCTTATATAAATGCGATCCTTTATTATTTCTAATTTTCATGGTGGGAAGAGAGACTTTGTACACAGGTGTGAATGTACTTGAATTTATCATAAGTGTATCCTGCCCTATGCATTGCCATATTAATAAATAAATTATAAAACTCTTTTTGTACCAATATGTTGCATTGATGATAATAGCTGCACTTATTCATAGGGCCTACATATGACATTATGTAGCCAGGTGGTTGGAATGAAGTAACTGGTATAATGTGAAGATACTGTATATAAACTTGTGATATACACTGAAACAAACTGCTTCAGGCATTTTTTGTATTAGAAGATCTAGGAAACTGATACTGCTATCTTTTTTTTTTTCTACAGTAAAATTGATTGAATGGATAGCTGTGGTTTTATTGGAAGGTTAAATTCTGATTTTTGAAATGGCATGTTTAATTTTTTAAAGATCAGTTCTGAAATTTTATAGCCACAATGTATGTATTAATTACCTACCTAAACTTAGCTATTATTATTATTATTCAAAAAAATGTTAATTTTTGTAGAAATATCTTACTATTAAATTCTACAGATTTTGTGATAAAAATGCATATATGGATAATATGGTAATCAGTGATACAAGTTTGTAGTGTCATTTGTAAACTAGTTTTAATTACTAAATACAGTAGATTAAAAAATAGTCAAGGTTTTAAATATTAATATAAAATTGTAGGAAAGTAAAATATACTCTATATAAAGAGTAACCTTTTTATTTTGTAACCATTAATGTTCATATTTATATTTAATTTGGCCAGAAAAATGAAATATAAAAAAATTATAGTAGATGCTGTCATATCCAAATTGATGTGGATGGGAGTAACCAAATAGAAAAATGCAGATGAGAATGATAATTCTTAAATAAGACTAACATATATCCCTACTGTATGCACATATATATATATATAAACGTTTATTTTGACTTTGATGCTTATTTCCAACATTACAATTAATTTTTAAAGTACTGTGTTAAAGTTGTTTTTGTTCTCTATTTGCTGACAAGCTGCTACATTACACCAATGCTTGATTGGTGATTGATGCATTGTGACAGTTCATCAAGAAGTAATAAGATCATATTATACTTTATATATAAAACAAGTATATATACAAATATTGTGATACTCTAGTGCAATGGTATTCAAACATTTTAACAGTGCGACCCCAGGTAATTTTTACTTCCAAGGTATTCAATTTATGGGGCACAACCCCCAAATGGGGTCGCGCCCCATTTGGAAAGTCTATTGGAATATATTGGATATTGAAAGATATTGGAAAGTCTTACCACCACTAAAAGTATACTTGCATATTCTAATCAGTTACATTTTCACTTTGATTCCTAATCAAAGAAAATTTTGTATGTAATCATCCTATGGACTTAAAAAAAAATTATTTAAGATTTTTAAAATCTTCCATTATGTTTGAAGCAACTTTAGCATGGAAAATTGCCACAATGGTATAACCAAAAAAATTTTTTTGTTATACTATTATGATTGTGATACCTTAAAATTGTAGAAATCACCGAATAAGTTGAATTTCTCATTTTCAGTTATTATATAATCTGAATCTCTCCTATACTATTATATAATCTGAATCTCTCCTATACATTTGGAAAATACAGTATACAAGAAATTTTAAAATTCTCATGTCACTGTTACATGAAAAAAAAAGCTAGAACAAGCATGCCTTCTTATTTGAGTACTAATTGATAAATGTATATTTTCACCAAATTTTGGTACTTTACAGCTTTCATACTCTGATCATTTGAAATTTAAGAATCAAAAATCTTCAAATTGAATTTCCAATCTGTACAACATACTTTTAGTGGTGGGGTGTGGGGTTGTCAATCCAGGGGACTGGGAAAAATGTCAACCTTGTTTATTCCAATAGTAATGATTATATCAGACAAAAATATCATATATTTATATATAATTTGGGCTATTTTTTTTCAAGAAAGTAAGAGAATAAGGCCAACAAAAGCAGTATAACAACAAATAACTAACTTCAAAATTAAAACATCTGAATCTTAATTTATTGGTATGGTGGAGTCTTTTAATGGTTTATCTATTTAATTACACAATTTGTGGAATAAAATTTTGACTTATTTACTAATTTGCAAGAAGTCTTATATTCAGTCATATAATACTAAAATATTTTAGAAACTTTTTCATTTGTAATTTTAAATATATTTAAAGAATATTTAAATGTTTGATTGCATAAAACCACTGAAACTGAGTACAAGTTCAAATTCTACTTGTCAAATCAAATATTTTACTATAGTTTTATTGTATTTCTTTTATTCAAAAGTAAAAAACAAATTGCATTTAAGATGGTAAAAAAAATCTTAAATGCAATTTGTTTTTTCAGAATCAGAATAGAATTCATTTATGTTGAATCTCAATTATTTATAAGTAAAAGTAATACTCACAATTCAGATTTCTTTGTTAAAATTTTTCAAATTCTGCAACAAATTCTATATAATTTTAAGAAATATCAAAACAACAAAAATGACCTCATAATTCATAAGAAACCCAGTACCATGTACAGTAATTGTTACGATAATAAAAATATTGTTATAGGTTCTTCAAAAGTTCCAAATTAATGTAACATAATATATAGATTAAAAAAAAAAAAAGATAATAATAATCTTTAATAAAATAGGCTATCATCTCATTTGTTATTAAAAAATTAATAGTTTAAACTTTCAAAAATATGGTTCTTAATTTTCAGTAATAACTGAAATTTCTTCATCAGTTTTTGTTCAAAAGATAAATTTTGGTAATGAGATTCTTCTCTAAGCATGTTAAGATCAAATATAAGCAGAGCAATAAAAAAAATCATCATCTTGCCAATCAAACACACATTTGATTATCACAATTTGTTTTTTTTTTAAATATCAGAATAATTTTTGATTTCATGTATTTATGTATGTATACTTAAAATTATCTAATTATATTATATTAAAGTTAACAACATTCTTATTTTTTTAACATTCTTAATTTCAATAAAGTAGAAACATTGTTCTAAAATTTGATTCACTACAGTAACTTCAGTTCTATAAAATACAATTATTTAAATTAATATATTCTCAAACTACCAATTGGTGGAGGCATTAGAAAATTGAGATCAAAAAAAAAAAAAAAAAACTATTTTATTCATGGGATACACTAGACGCTCTTCAGCAACTATTACAGATACCTGCAATATTTAACTTAATATCTGTATTTATATAATAGTAGCTGGAGAGGACATAGTGAAGACCAAAATGCATCTCATGAATAAAATTAATATTTTTATTTTTTTTTATGTGATCTCAATTTTCTAATGCTCCAATACAGTTTGATAAGCCTCCACCAATTGGTAGTTTGAGATAATTATTTAAACCATTAGTGGCAAGAAGCTTATCATTGTAAGCATTAATGTTCATGGATCAATATAAGACTATCAACAATGTAGAAAGTTATCTAAATGTGTTAATAAATTAGTATGATTATATGCTGTGATAAAAATGTATGATCTAAAATTAGACAATATAATTCATATTACCTGAACTACGGTATATTCTGTCTTTTCCTGAGAAAACTTGAATATATTTACATTATATATTTTTATTATAGAATTGCACAAATAAAAATACATTAAAAAATTTGAATCAATCATACACAAGAAAAAAATTACTAAAACCAAATAAGGATATTCTCTTTTTTAAGAGATGATTTTTTCTTCCATTTTTTAAAATACTTAATATGTATAGCGTGCTCATTTAGAAATATAATCATCATACTTAACTTTAATAAAGAACATGAATAATTTAATTGAATGAATAAATTATTTGTTACAGTACATGAATAAATTTACTTTACTTTGTATATTTACTGGCACACTTAATATGACAAATAATATTTAGAAGTATTTATTCACACAATTCATGTTGATCACTGTCTAGATACATATGCGTACAAGAATTTGCATGCATTGAAATTTGTACATAACACTTAGGCAAAATGGTTGATAAAACTAAAAATCTTACAACTATTAACATTGCTATTAACTGTAAAAATGGCATATCAATACTTTCAAAAATATCTTCAAATGTTGAAGATTTATATTTGGTTATTTTGTACAATAAATGTTTGCAAAAATTGAAGAAATATAATAGAATGTAGAAATTCTTTTAATAAATGTACAATTTAGTGCAAGTGAGAAAAAGAATAACTGTGCAATTGTTTATATTAAATTATTTTACTTCTCAGGCACTATTTTCCCCATGCACCTTGATTTTATAGTGGAAGCCTAGTATCTGAGCAAGAAAGAACATTTATTCCTCCTTTCAGTTTAACATGTAGAATATGTGAAATTAATATATAAAATGAAATTTAAGTAATATATAATGTAAAATTTTTTAAATATTTCACAATTATATAAATTCATTCAAAATTTATAGAATATCAGTCATGGCTACTAAATAGTTTTAAATATCTCGTACACAAACCATTGATTTGGTAAAACATCAAATTCTAATTAGTCCAATTTATAATTTACTAACAACATACTACAAAAATTTGTAGATGTGAAAGCATTTTACTAGAATGCATAGAAAAACCTAAGCACACAAACAGAATCCAATGATTCAGATTTATAAATATTTTTCTCTCCTGGTAGTAAAATTTTAAGTTTATGAAAAAATTTTCTTAACAGGAATCAATGACATTAGCAACAATATTTTATATGGATATATAAATCACATTCTCAATAATGTCATTATCATCTACTTAGTTATGTGCTATCATGCCTTCCAATTCATAGCACTTTGAGTTAGAGAACGTGGAGGGATCATATCAAGCAGATACTGTCTCTGTAACTCTGATGAAGAAATAGAAGACTTACCCATCATTTGATATGAATATGCCTGAGCTGCAAGAAGTGGGGCAAAAGAAAGCATATGCGCTGGTTGTGGTTGATTTTGATTCAACTGCATTTGCTGAGCTTGTAATAATGATTGTTGTTGAATTACAGCAGTTGCAGTTGTAGCTATTTTTGAAATAGGATTCGAAATATGATTCTGTGGTGAAGTTGGTGCTACAATTGGTGTTACTGTATTTGAAATATGCAATGGAGAAGTTGGTGTTAATGATGGTGGTGGAGAACATGAAAAACCCTGAGACATACGTTGTTCTATTTCTTGTTCTTGCTGCAATGCTTTCACAAATGCGGTCTTTAAGCGATTTGTGTGCTCTGCTTTCAAAGCTTTTTTAATATTTGAAGTAACACATTTTTCACAAATGACTGATGGCTTCTTATTAAGTGTACTAGTCTCTTGCCATTTCCAAACAGGTGTGAAATTAGTACTGCATTGAACACATTCAAATGGATCTGGAGGAAGCTTGTTATAAATATTATCACCAGTGAAAAAACTCACAACTACCTCCAAACCTAAAAGATATATAAAGTCTGGACTATTTGCATTTGGAACAAAGTGTAATTCAGGTGGTGGTGGCTTAGGTGGAGGAATCTGAAGCAAAGTTTTTTCTAATTGTTTACGAAGAGCTAGTTTAGCTGCAGCCTGTCGTTGAGCAGGTGTTTGATTGTCTGCTCTCTCTGTCTGTATTGTTGAGTGAGGCACAGGACTGATTGATGTAGGAACCTGAAATAAATATTATATAAAATAATTGTTTATGAATGAAAATAATCTCACCAAGAATTATTATTATATATTTAATATCAACAAAACAACATTTACATTATATTTTGAATAATTTAGCAGACAAATTATTAAGTTAACAAAAAATATCAGCTCTTCCTTAGGAATATTATAAACATTGAAAAAAAAGTCAGATCTGAAGAAGAAATTCACAGCAATGTCTTCCCATACAATTTTAATTGTTTTTGTTTAATTTTAGTTTATCATCTCTGAAATATTACCTTCAGATAACATTCAAAATTTTAATTTTTCTTTTTCTAAAGAAATAATTTTGTCTTTGTAGAGTAACAGAAAGAGAAAGACACTGTTGTTATAGTTTGTATAAATAAAATTTAGGAACTCAATTAGGGTGGCATTATGCAACAGTTAGTAATAATTTTAACACCAAGTTTAAAACCCTATTTATTGTTTATAACTTTTTTATAACTTACAATCAATCAACAGATATTTATATCAGATTACTTCATTATAAATGTCCTCCTTTCTTGTATAAGAAAGTTGGTAACTCTGCCTCTATTGGACATCTCTTAATGTTACCATATTCTGACAGTCCCATATATATTATATTAAATAGGTTCATGTGTGTTTGTGTAGCATACTGTAATATATATAAAATTGTGTGTGTGTGTGTGTGTGTGTTCTTTAGAAATGTTTAATTATATTTATAAACAAAATTTTAAAATATTTAAACTATTGGTAGAATAGCTCTGAACTATAATGTTTATGGACTTACTCATTGTTTTCAACAGTTGGTAACAAAATATTTTAGGCTTTAGTTTCTCAATTTGGAAATTAATTCTAAAAATTTATATTTATTCCATAGTGTCAGAAAGATTTTAACCAAAAAATGTGTTTCCTGTTTATGAGAAAATAAATGTTTCATAAATAAATTGAATATATAAGGTCTGACCAAAAAGTTCAGGTAATTTAGTTTTTTGTGAAAAATTCTATTTGATGTAATAGCAATATTTATATTTAATTAATAATTCTTATTATTTATAACTTTACACAATTTAATTTAAAAATGCAAATAAACTGAACAATGCGTGTCCAAAAAGTTTAGCTATTTTTATTTATTGGATTTTTTTACATCTTAACTTTCAAGTATAAATAATTTCATTCAATTCTTTAAAATATCACAAGAGAGTGTTATTTTAACAAGCTCTTTATCTGTAATATTAATCATGCCAAGAAACAAACAATGATTCATTGACAATGATGTGGTTTACATTTGGAGAAGGAAAGTAGAAGTTACTAGTGTTAATCAAATTGCCAAAGAAATTCATAAGTCTGCCTCAGGAACATATACAATTATTGAAAAAGGTGAAAATTGAAAACCTAAACAAATATCTGGAAGACCAAAAGTGACTATTAAATGTGATGAAAGAAGAATTTTAAAGCTTGCTTCAAATCCTACATCTGTTTGAAAAATTGCAGTACATTTGAATCAAAGTAAAAGCACCATTCATGATATATTAAAATCATCACCAATAAGAATGGTCAATCAACCTCCCTTGAAACCATAACACATTGAGACAAAGTTATACAGGTATACCTCGACTTACGTCGTTTCGAGTTACGTCGTTCCCGATTATACGTCGTTTATCAAAAAAGTATACGAAAAAATAAAAATCAAGTTTAAGTCATTTTATTCGACTTTACGTCCGTCCGCCACAAATATTGAAGTCGTAATATCACTAGAAAAGCGTTTAAAGCACATAAAATCATATTAAAATATACACATTTACAAGTATGTACTGTATTTACAGTACAGTACATGCATTCGTAAATTTAGATTACTTTTTTTGTACGCTATTAAAAACTAAAATTTATTTTTTGTAAGCTTAAAATAGCTTCTTATTAACCATATATTATTAAAAATGCATTAATAAATAAAATACAGAACTGGGAATAGTAATTTGTGGTTTAGCCTAATGTCAAGTAGATTGGGAGACAAGTAAGTTCGACTTACGTCGTTTTTCGACTTAAGTCGTTTTCCTGGAACCAATTACCGACGTAAGGCGAGGTATACCTGTATTGGGCAAGAAAACACATGTTGTGGAAAAAACAAGGAAAGTGTATAAATGTTTAGTGATGGAAAAAAGTGAAATTTAGATGGCCCTGTTGCTAACTAGAAGCCCAGACCTGAATCATACTGAAAATCTTTGGAGAATTATATCTATCCTGGTATATGCCAATTGCAAGCAGTATTTGACCATAAGTGACTTAAAATCTGAAACCAATAAAAATCTTATTTTAACAATGGAAAATAAGTTTTTGAGTGAATTTTGTGTAAAGGAAAGTTAATTAAATGTTAAACATAAAATGTATTAATTATTTTCAATAAATATTATTGTTTTGTAAAATTACCTAAATTTTTTTACACAAACTGTTTCAATTTTTTGAACAAATTATTGTTTAAAGTTCTAAATAATAAGAATTATTAATTGATGTATTAAAAACAATTACATTAAATAAAAATAACAATATTTAAATTTTAAATAAAATTTTTCACAAAAAAACTAAATTACCTAAACTTTTTGGACAGACCTTTATATTTATAATAAAATAAAAGTATTCTTCTAAAAAGAAAAACATAAAAATAGCAATACTTTAAATATATTTACCGTGGAAGGTTGCATGACAGATCTTTGAAGCAAGTATTTATTATTAGCAGAGGAAGACAAATGGCTTCTAATTAGTGGAGAAGACATAAATGAAGTGTCTCCAGATACCCGTCCAATGTTAGATTTTGCTGTGTTAACAGCTGTTCCAATTAAATTCTCTTTCATAATTTGACTTTGATGAAGTTTCTTTAATAAAACAAGTTTCATTTCTTCATCTCTCAATACATGTTTCAATCTTGCTATCTTCTTCTCTCTCTCTCTCCATTCCTCCTCTGTTAATTCTTTTAACTGAGGTGAAACTGGTAGGGTCATGTCAGATTCTGGAGTATCAGCTCGAGAATTATTTTCTACACCATTAACATGACCATTAGTCATGTTGTCCTCTTCATCAGTTAAAACAATTACATCAGGAGATTTAATATGAGGAGGTTCAACAAAAGTTGTAGGCCTATAAAACTGATGTTGAAATGGATGTAAAGGAAATTTATTTCTATGCTGCTGCAATTCTATTCTTTTCCTTTTTCTACTTTCCACTGTTTGTAAATTACATATTCCTATACTTGGAGAGTCTAATATTTTTGTAAGATTATAGTTTGTTTCTATTGGATTTTTAAAACTCAAATCAACACTATCAATATCTTGCACAGCATTATTTTCTATTTCAAGATTTGGCTTCTTCTTCCTAAAAAAAATCAATGTAGAAAAACATTTTAATTAATTATAGATTTTTATGTTTACAAATATAAATCTGGTTTAACAACAATTGATGATTTTATTGTTAGAAATCATTAACTGTAATTATTTCAAAAGTAAATTATATTTACTTTGAAATAATTCAAACTGATTCAGATCTAGAATCAAAAATTAATACACAAATCATTTCATAAAAATATTGAACCTCAAAAATTTAAAGTTGTTGCTTTTAAAATTTAGCATGAAAATAAATCATTTTGGTTTAAAAATTATTTTGATCATATTAAATTTATTCATTATAAGTTTAAAACATGTATTTGTTTAAATTCTAAAAATTTTTTTGTATACTTCTATAATCACATATTTATGCAAAATATCTAAATGTAAATAAAATTTGGTTTATTTTTAGGAGCTATTACTTTTTTTAATTTAGCTTTTAACATATAAAGTTTTTCAACTTAAAGCCAAACCATGTTTATTATATTAATAAATTTCAGCATTGCACAGAAAAAAAAATTTATGAAGTACTGTACAGTAATACATGCATTAAAATGTTCTCACAGATAAAAAAACTATATAATCTGATAATGATTTAAAGTCCTTAAAGTTAAAGTATGTCTTTTTTTCTTCTATAATGAAAATTTTTAAGTATTTAAAATACAATTTAATACGAGCAATTATTTATTGTGACATCATCACAATGCCGGGCTGCAATTTTTAATCATATTTTTAATTTATTTAATTTAAAATATGCACTCTCCACCTCAAATTAGTACTGTATTGTCTTGCCTCTGTACATCATACTTTTAACAATAGAAGTGTGCCAGTCATCTATTAACTGCTTTCAGGAGAAAGTTTTGAATTGAAATAACATTACTTCCAGTTTGCATCAAAGTTTATATATAGTTAATCAGCCCTAAGGTTTCCCTACCTGGTCTCAGATTTCATCTATCTAACCTTAATCTTGAGATTAAGGAAAGAAAGACAGATGGACGACAGTAGGAATTTATAGGTCTACAATTTTTTCAAATTGCAAACAAATTATAGAAGAAAAGGATCAACCCGAAGCAGGAAAAATTCAATTTCTGCTACTCAAGCAGATGCACTACTAGTTATGCTCTGTGTATTCTTCACTTCCAAACCATTATTTCGGCCATATTATAGGTCAAAAATGATACATCTCCTTATCTTTAATAATATATAATAATTAAAAAATCATTAACTACTAATTAAATAATGAAAGATTAAGCAACAACACTTTATTGGACCACCCTATCTATAACCATTTCTGTGAAATTAAAAAGGCAAGTGACTTGTTTTTTTTCTTCTTCCAGAATATTCTAAATTAGAACTTTAATGCATCATATTTTTAAAAGTCTGACATTCTCACATAAATAAGTATGTGATGTATACATTGTCATTTAAATTTTATTTTTAAAAAATTTTAAATGTGTAAATTCAAAATAACAAACTATGGGATTTACTTAAAATTATTTTCACTGTTTATTTCCATCCCTTGTTAAGGTAAAAAAATTAAAATTTTAAAATGTTTACATCAAGACCAAACCTTTCCCACTCATGTTATTTATGTTATAAAACAAATTTTGATCTTACATATCTACTCATGTAACTCAAAGTACTTTTAGTATTTTATAAGTGTCTCTCTTAAAAACCGACAAAAATCCTGATTCCTACAAGAAATATTAGTTGTTTTCATCATAATAACATTAGAGTATGATTCTTAAATATATAATCCAGTAATGAATATCTTTAACTTCAATCGCTCATAATATTCTTTCTTCTTGGACTCCCCTATTATTTTTTCAATAATAAATCAACTGTCAATTAACATTTCATATTTTTAAAGATGTTAGAACAAAACATTAATATCTGTTTTATTTGATTTTCTATGTAAAACAACATCTAAATTATTTATTTATTTATTTTTGTCAAATTCTAATTCAGATTTAACGTGAATATTTTTACTACAGCTATTAAAGACATTTAATAAATTGATACAATGACTAGTATGATATTAGTGCCAAATGATTGCAGGATTACATTGGGCTATATTAATGCTACTAATTACTAATTTTAAATATCAAATCATTTGACCTAGAGGTAGGATTTAGGTAATATATATTTCAAAAATTAATTTAGAAGGTTCTGGAAGAAAAGAATCAGCTCAAAGTCAGATTTGAACAGCATGGCAAGCATGAGTTGCAAGCTCAAATCCCACTTTGGGCTGATTCTTTTCATCCAGAATCTTCTAAATGAATTAAAATATTAATTATTAAATTTATCAAGAGATGGCATCTAAAACGTACCTCTAGGCCAAATGATTTAACATTTAATTATTAATTAGTAGCACTAATATAGCCCGATGTAATGCGGGAATTGTTTGGCATTAATCTAAGAATACAGTTTATGAATGTTTATAGCATGTATTTGGTTGATAACAACAACAACATTGCATAAATGTAAATGTTACATAATCAACACACCTTATTTGCTCAGTAATAAGGTGTGTTGATTTTGTAATGTTGAAGATTCTGAGTGTGAATAGGAGAATAAATATAAACACCAGGGTATACCAAATTTAATGAAATAATGTAACAAATAATCAAAATGTAATAAAATTTGAAGAAAAAGTTTAAAATTAATAAAAGTAACTAAGTTTTATTATGAATTCTAAAAATTAAAAAAAAAAAATTTTTTTTAATTAATTAAGTACTATAGTTTCAGCACCTTTATATGTAAGATTAATTTGTAAGTTTATATATTATTTGATTCATATAGTGAATTACTTATGTTACCAAAAAAAAATTTGGGGGTTTTTTTCTGTATGTATGAATGTTAATGTGTGGGGCGCGATTTGTTCTCTCTTTGAAGCTTAATGCATGCTTTTTGTCGAAAATTTCTGAAATTTTGCAGGAAGGTTTGCGTATTAGGGAGATTAATGCTACTAAATTTCGGTGATTATCTCCCCCACCCTGTTGACTTTTGAAGGGATATGACACTACTTGAGATATGACACAAACCATGTCATATCTCAAGTAGGGTCAGACTTAAGATTTTACCAGATATTGGCATTTACAAATTTTTATAAAACCTATCCCTACCCTCAAAATTAAGCTTTTTTGCCATTTTATAACAATTAAAATTATAAAAAGGTTTTCACATATAACACATGATGTTTTAAATGTTGCCGGGAAAGTTAAGCAACTTGCTGGATTTTTTGAAGTATATGACTTAATTTTACATTGTTTTACATTTCTTTTTATATATTGTTCAAATGTATTATACATATATGAAATTTCTTTGTTAAGAATTAGGCTACACATACAAATTCAACTGTTTTATGTTTTCAACAGTTTCAACTATCATCATCATCATCATAATGATGATCATGAAAAATAAAAATCATACTTTTATAAATTTTGTGTATGTGTACATCTGCAGTACATGTTATTCATCAATGGTAAAAGATACACTTCATATAGTGTGTGTATAGTATATATCTCAAATAGTAGCCTTGGCTACTATTTGAGATATATACATAGTAGCCTTGGCTACTATTTGAGAGTCGTTATATGAATAAAAGTCAAGGATTTAGGAAACAATATAAAATTAATAAATACACACTATAGATACTATCTTTATTTAACAAACTAATAGAAAATGAAAAATGTAAAATGTCCTATATACAATAGATGCATGGCATCTGCATAAAATTTTCCAGGAAGGGCAGTTTGGAAACAAATAATTACATCAATAAATTTTTATTTAATTTTTTTTTCATAAGTAGATTATAAAATACAGTATTGCATAAAAGTATCCCATGGTCAAGGATGTAAGATTACATACCTCAAATCACTTTTACAATTATGATTTGTGGAATATTTCACTCTATCCCAGAAAGGGCAAGTTCCCATTTGACCCCCTCTGTATATACATGTATTCACAAACCCATGAATAGATGTTTTTTTAATTATTTTCTTATTACTGGTATATATAAAGTAACATTTATTATGAAGATACCAGTTGACATTTCAGGTATTTTCTTAAAAAAAATCACTAGCCTTTCATAAATATTATTAATATTTAAATACCTGTTATCCATTATTAATAAAGTATGTGCAAAGGGGAAATAACAATACCAATGCCCCTGAATAAGAACCACAGAAAACATTCAGTTTAAAATTATTCAAATAAAACCAATCTTATAATATAATCGAGATGGGTTGATAATAAGTGCAGAGCCCAAATGGTTAGGAGTTGAAAGCTGAAATTTGGTACAGAGTGTGCATTAGCACAATGTACTCTAAAAATCTTAAGGATTACCCTGAAGAACTGCTTCTTCTGTACTATTTTAGACATAGTTTTTTGTGGGAAATCAAACATATTTTTAGACCCATCTAAAAATTCTCTAATTAGTTTCAGAAGGGGATCTAATTCTTGCACCCGGTGATAACGGATAAAATCGGCTGTAATCTAATAATCTTAATCTTTGCTATCATTACTTTTTGTCCAAGCAACGCCAGGCTCATCTGCTAGTATATAAAATAAAATCCACACAAATAATTATGTAATAAACATAAACTATACTAAAAACTAAGTTATTTTTTAAAAAATCTTTAAAAAATTAAATAAATGCTTAATAGTTAACATGTTAAATAAAATATAAAAGCCATACTAATGAGATAGTGTTAATCAAGATATTAGTATACTTCATTTATATTCAATACACTAATTTAAAAAGGTTTAGTCTAAATAACTTAGGTTTTCAGTTTTTACATAATTATTTATAGATATACATAAAATAGAAGTTATAAAACTCAAATTTATGAAGACTAATTATAATTAAAAAATCTTATTAAATGGTTTTAATAAACCTGCTACTTACTTCAAAGAAAGATCAGTAACTACTTCTTCCATTTTTTATATTTGGTTAATAAGAAAATCTTTTTAGTCTAATAAAAGAAAAAAATAAACATTATAATTAATAAACTAATATTTGAAGTTTAATTTAAATTATGTGTGTGTATGTATATATATATAACATAGTTAATAATTAGCTGAGAACTCTCTCATATCTATTAATGATTTTTTTAATAAATTGAGAGACAGTGAAAAAACAACATATCCTTCAAAATTATAAAAAATGAGTTATTAATATTTGGATTTGTGCATCAATACATGTCTTCTAAAATACTTTCACAGTTCAGTTGCATGCCTCATGGGTTGTATACACACACTACTAAAATGTTGAATGTTAAAAATGCTGGTGAATTAAAGCACAAATCCTTTCTCTTGAAAACTTCCTAATGTGGAATATTCCATTTTTCCACCAAGCTTCTCAATTGTATAAGAAATTCTGATTATTCTTGCTTCTCATTTGTTTTCATAAATTATCAAAGAATGAATGATCACACCATTTCCAATCTTAACAAGGGTGATAATAAGGGTTTAAACCGTACAGGCAAACATATACAAATTGATTACTAATGGGGATTAAAGGCTTTATACAGAGAAATTGCTACTCAGAGTGTGTTCAACAACATATGAACTGATGGGTTATGCCTATAAGTTATTAAGAAATGGCAAAGATGCCATTAATGCCTACAACACACCAGGGGCTTATAGTATACCTGTGAGAGATGACAGATTTCACAGAGATCTGGTGTACATTGGTTAAACCAAGATATCCCTTAAAAACAGCTGGCAGAGCATAAGTATGATATTCAAAACAAAAAGCAGACCACTATCCTAGCAATATACGCTTCTAACACTAACATAGAATTGGTTACGTAATTTATTTAGTAATTAGCCTTAAACTAGCCCGAGAGATTTTCAGCATTCTGTTGGTGTGTAGCTTTATTGTATATCGGGTTTAGAGATGTTTGTAAATAAAGGATTGTTTCGACAATGATTTTTCTTATTGTAAAATTCAGCCAATTTTTTAAATTTAGTTAATCACCTAAATATAAGTAGTTCAATTTCATGCAAATAACCGACAGGTTTTGTATGTTTAGAACATTTACATAAGTTATGAAATGACAATTTAAAATTGCAATCACAAACTCAAACAGCTTTTCCTTCTTTAAGTGCATTGTTAGAAAATGTAAAAAAATCCTTTTATGTCACAGTTATAATCTATCATCATGAATTGAGACAGACATACATTTCACCTTTAATTTATGAAGAAAATGAACAAGAGTGAATTAAAGTGCTAATTGAACACTATTATTATTGGACACTCCTGTTTGAATTTGTATCTTGAAAGCTAATAAACTTCCAATAATTAACTGTTATTTACGAGGGTCATCCCAGAAGTACCCGACCTGACATAGATGGCAGTACTTGTTTGAAAAAAAAAAAACAACTATGTTTGAAAGTATCAACCTTATAAGGCTTAAGTTTGAAGTTTGAAGACGTTAAGTTGTATAGTATTTTTTTGGCAGCCATAAATAGTGAACAATCTTAGTGAATTTGTAAACATGGAAAAAATTTGTCATCGTTGTGTGATACAATACTTTCATTTGAAAGGTTTCAGTCCAACCAATATTAAAGCTGAGCTAGATTCTACTCTGGGGGAGTCTGCTCTCTCGTTTACAACAATAAAATATTGGGTGGCAGAGTTTAAACAAGGCCGTATGAGCTGCCAAGACAAACATCGTAGTGGTCGACCAAGTGAGGTGACCATGCCAGAAATGGTGGAAAAATCCACAAAATGGTATTGGATGACAGTCAACTCAAAATGCAAGAGCTAGCAGACATGGTAGGCATTTCAAAAAGTGCTGTACATCGCATTTTAACTAAAAATTTGGACACGAGAAAGCTGTGTGCAAGATGGGTGCTGTGTTTGATCACAATGGGACAAAAACAGCGTTGTGAGGATGTTTCAATCGAGTCTTTGGCAATGTTTCGCAGCAAAAAGCTGAGTTTTTGCGTCGATTCATAACCATGGATGAAACATGGGTCTATCACTTCACACCTGAGACAAAAGAACAGTCGAAACAATGGACTGAAAGGGGAGAATCGGCTCCAAAGGCGAAAACAGTTTCATCTGCTGGCAAGGTCATGGCGTCAGTTTTTTGGGATGCGCCCAGGAAAAACAATCAACGGCAAGTATTGTGCGAACTTATTGCAGTGCTTGAGTGATGAAATCAAGAAAAATCGGCCACATTTGGCGAAAAAGAAAGTGTTGTTTCATCAAGACAACGCACCAGTTCACACATTTGTTATTGCAATGGCCAAAATCAATGAGTTAAGGTTCAAATTGCTTCCTCACGCACCCTATTTCCCAGATTTAGCCCCCTCGGATTATTTTCTCTTTCCAAACTTAAAAAAATGGCATGGTGATAAAAAATTTGCCAACAATGAAGAGGTGGAGTCTATGGTTGATGGCTATTTTGAGAAGCTCGACAGTTCTCACTATAAACAGGGGATCGAAGCTATCGTACATTGCTGGAAAAAGTATATTGAGCTAAAAGGAGACTATGTTGAAAAATAAAGATATGTTTTACCAAATTTTTTGAGTCTTCTTTGTTAGGTCGGGTACTTCTGGGACTACCCTCGTATATATCATAGTTTTGACGATTTGATTGTTAAAACACATTAAGACCACAATTAGTTATTGTATAACAAGCTCTATATTTACTGTTTTTTATTACTATAAAATGAATCTTAATAATAAAACTAATAAATAGCCAGCATAATTACATTTTAAAAAAATTTACAAGAATTAAGATTTTCTTCTTGTAAAATTTTTAAAACGTAATTAACATTATATTTTATAGGACATATTTAAGCTCGTATTTTGTAGTTTAAAATCTGATGTTTCAGGGCTTAGTAATAAATATGCCATTGAAGTTCTGATGTTTCTAGACCAGGGGTCAGCAGTTTGTCAAGTGAGAAGAGCCAAATTGTCATGGAAACAGTATAACAAAAGTACCAGAGAGCCGCATATATAACACACACCAGAGAGATGTCCCCTAGTGTGCATTACAGGCATTCTGTGACAATAATAAATTCCTATTACAAATATACTGAATTATTTATATTGTTATTGGCTATTGGCCAAATGAATAATAATAATTTATACTGTTAATTCAAATGTGCAAAATACAACACGGATGCCTCTAGTGGCCGTTTTTGGCATAATGTTACATGGACGGACACATGCTCAATGGGTTATGTATATATAGATATGATTCAAATGCTGCCACTCGCATGCGACTCATATTGATCAACGCGAGTGTGGTCATGTGCGGATGTGCTAAAGAGTGGTAGAGAGTATGCCATACGAGTCGAAGTTCATTCGGAAGCTCTATCTCATAAATTCATAAGTTACAAGGCTGCGGTGAAATGAGGTGAGGTGAAATTGGAGTTTATGTTTGAAGAGCCGCAAACGTCTATGCAAAGAGCCACTAATTTTGACCCCTGTTCTAGACTTTAGTGTATAGGATATATGAGGTGTGGCTAGAAAATAACGAGACTAAAGTTTGAACTTTGACGTTTAAATCTTGAGTAGTATACTCACTTTAGTTGTGTTCTCCTTCATTGTATGATCCTTCCTTCTGCTTCCACACAGCTGCATTTGCAACTTCCACTGATCATAACAGTGCTGCAGGTCATCATCTGTAAGGCTATGCAAAAACACTCATTTTTTTTCTTGACAGCAGAAACCAAATCAAAACAGATGTCCCCTCATAGCAGACTTGACTTTAGGGAAAAGGTAAAAGTCACACAGATCTAGGTCAAGCAAGTATGATGGGTGTTCAAGTAGTGTAGCTCCCTTCTTGGCCAAAAACTGCTTCACTGACATAGTGGAATGGGCTGGTGCGTTGTCCTGATGGAGGATGAAACCATTTTGCCACAAGTGTTGCTGCTTTATTCTGATCCTTTCCCGCAAAGATTCCAGAACTTCTTTGTAATAGTATTGGTTCACAATTTGTTCCACTTTTTGCACATTTTCCTCAGTTTTTGGAGTATTGGGCCGTCCAGAACATTCATCATCTTTCACATCCTCTTGGCCCTCAAAATCTTCTCACATGCACAACAAAAACATGCATCTCTGTATTCTTCACATAGCAGGCACAAAAAATCAGTGGCAGTTTTTTCAATTTCACCAAAAATTTCAAATTGATATGCTGCTTTTCTTTCAAGCTGGCCATTTTTCCGACCTGCACTAACAACACGTCCACTCACAGCAATCTAATAGTAGTAGCAAGTTGAGACTCACTGTGCTTGTTCTAACTTGTTCATTTACCCACCCACCCAGGCTCACATGCAACCATTGCATGCAGGTGATCAGTCTCATAATTTTCTAATCACACCACATAATGCATGTATAAGAAAGGCAAAGGTTTATTGTGCCTTTAGTTCTTTCTAGTGTACACATCATATCCAGATACCTTTTCAATTCTCCACAGATTTTGTGAGCAAGTTCTATTTACTATTTTTTTCAGTATAAGTTATATATTTTGTATGTTGTGAGTACAGTTAACCCCTGTATAACATGATGCTTTTATAGCACGGATTCACTCTGACACAGTTCGAGAATTGGGTAAAACCCTCTACAACATGAAATGTAATAAATTTTCACATACTTAAGAAATAATAGCTCACGAAAATGATTATTTTTGTGAGGTATTAGTACTTAAGTATGTAAATTTTCTTTTCTGCCATCTGTTGATACATGTAATTCTTCTCGAAACTTGTTTCAGTGTTGACAGATCTAAACGCTTCCGATTTTGGTGTTGCCAGATGTTTCCCCTTATTCCATACCTGCTTTATTCTTCTTAAGTACTTAGCACCATATAAGGAAATTTATAAAGATCTTTTAACTAAAAGCAAGCAATCTAAAATAACATATTTTTTGCAAAAGGTAGAGCATGGAT